GTGCGTCTGTGAGGAGGTCCCAGTGACTCTGGGATGCCCGCTGACCGTCAGCTTCACCCCAGGGCACCCCCCTTTCCAGCTGCTGGTTTCTGAGCCAGGGCTCCTCTCGCCACTCTGTGGCACCTCCCAGGGACTGAAAACAGGGTCTTGAGGCTGCCCCACTGCCATTCCCAAAGCACCAGCTCATGACCTGCAGCTTCCAGCAAGTGCTTTGGCCGGGGCTGTGCCTGTCAGCCAGCCGGGCTGTGGTGGGCTCCGCGCAGCCTCTCACCTGCCTGTCCTTGTCCTTTCAGGAACGAGGTGACCAAAATGAAATTCGAAGGGAAGACTTTCTATTTATATGTAAGTCAGAAAGAGGTGAGTGGTTTCCCTTCCCGTGGGACTTCCTGAGCGCAGCTGTGGTCGTTGCTTCAGCAGGTTCTCCGTGCACTTGGCAGGCTGCAGCCTGCAGCAGCGTCACCCTGTGACTGCGGTGCAGGGACGTGGGCACGGTGGCAGGGCCTGCAGCTCAGTGGCAGCGCTGGGGTCAGCTCCCTGCTCCCGCTGGCACCTTGCTCTGGGCATTAGAGCCTGCAGCCCGGGTTAGCCCTGGGCTGTGCCATGGTGATGGCTCTGCTTTCAGCAGCAACCCAGGACCTCCTGCAGCTTCTTGCCATGCCTGCCCGCCACAACCATGTGCTGCATTTGGGATTATTGTGGTTATTTGTTACTGCCATCCCGCTCGGTCAGCCCTGGTTAGCTAAGTCAGCCTGAAAACCTCTGGCTGAAAATGGCTCCCACACAAGCCATAAGCATGATTTTTTAAAAAAATGTATTCACACAAGCCATAAGCATGATTTTTTTAAAAAAATGTATTTCTGGACATTCAAAAAGGCAGGTAAGCTGGAGGAGGTGGGTGGCAGGTCACTGGTGCGCACGTCTGCCCATCCCTCATGCGAGGTGCAGCGCTGAGGTGTCGGCCGGTGCTCCAACGTCTCCCCGCATCATGAGTGGCTCTGGAGGAGGATCTGCCCCGTGTCAGCGCTGCTCTGGCCTCCGTCCACATTCCCAACATGCTGCCCGGTGGGCACCACTGACTTGTTCTCCTATCAACTCCTTGTCTTTCTCCTTTAGGAAAAGAAAATTGTTCTTACATATTTTGCCCCAACACCAGAAGCCTGCAAGCACCTCTGGAAGTGTGGGATAGAAAACCAGGCTTTCTACAAGTAAGTGCCAGGCCACCCAGGCGTGCATGGTGGTGTGTTCTGCATCTCCCCGTGGGTCGGCGCTGCCCCGCACAGCAGCTGCCCGAGGGCTCCATCCAGGTACGGGGGCTCGGGCACTGGCTGTCCCCAGCCACGTGGCACCCCTGTCCCAGTGGCCCCAGCAGAGTCACCAGCCACCAAAAGCGCTGGTGCCCCCGGGCTGGGGGCTCTGCCCACGGGGTCCCTCCCGCCCCCCACCCCGCACTCATCCCTCTGCAGCGAACCTTTAATCAGGAGATTAAAACTAATTGTTTGGAGATTAAGCCTTTAATGCTGAGCAACCGGCGCACGTCCTGTCTGCAACAGCAGAGGTGTTTTAGCATTTTCCATGTTAATGGCAGCTTGTTTGGAGCCGGCCCGCGTGTGTGGATGCTCAGGCACTGTGAGCAGCCAGAGTGGGAGGCAGCAGGGGGCAGACACCAGCAAAACTCAGGGAATATTTTCTGACGTAAAATTCAAGGGTGGATTTTAAAAAATGGCTTAGCAGGGTCCGTTTGTGCTGAATCTGGCGCTAAAATCCCCACTGAAGTCAGACCAGTGCCCCGGGGTGCTTTAGAAAAGCCTGCCTTTTAATGGGGAAAGCTCAAAAACTTTCAGAAATAATCTGCTTCTAAGCTCTTTGGGAACAAGTTAATTATGTATGTGAAATATTCAAGGGGCCAGGGAGGTGACGTGCAGTCTGGGCTGCAGCTGCGAGCCTGGGCAGTTGTGGACAGTGGCTTGAGGGACCATTCCTGCAGCTGCCTGGCTTTGGGGGACCTCCGGGCTGGGGGTCTCACCTGGGCAGTGGGACCTCCTGCCTGGGGAGGACAGGGAAGGTGGTGTCCTTTCCCAGGAGCTCTGGGCTCCCTAGTTCGTGGCCACCAAGGCAGCTTTTCTGCCCCTGGTTTGGTTAATTGGGCTGTCAAACAGAAAGGGAGAGGTCGCGGGCTGGACTGTCTAAAAACCAGGGAGGTACCAGGTGGAACGGTTTGATTTTACCATCCTGCTCATGTTGTACTTAAAAATAGCCTGCTTTGTAATGCGTTTTATTTTAATCAGTAAGATGCAAGATAAAGCGTGTGATGTATTCTCTTTGGGAATACTGCAATCAGCAGCTGCAATCAGCAGGTTTCATTTCTCATTATATTAACATGAAATGAAATTGCAATATTGCTTTACAAATCTTTTTATGATTAATCATGTCAGTAAATTACTGCTGGATTATGCACCCGGTGGAGTGGACTGTGGCCTCAGCTGAGGTGCTGCTGGGCTCCTCCTGGGGCGAGGGACCGGCTCCCGTGGGATGAGGAGGAGATAGGACTGTCCCTCCTTACAGTTTTACCCATTGCTGGCCGGACTGACCCCAGTGAGTGCCAGCCTGCCTGGGACGGGCCGATTCCTGCACCCCTGCGATGCAGAGGTTGTGG